AGCGTGGGGGCCTTGGACCAATGCCTGGGAGAGTACAGTAGTCAGAGTGTTGCTTTGCGAGAAGAGGGGCTGCGTGATTTCCACGATGAAGCAACGGCTGCATGGATCTATCGACAGGTCAACCCGGAGCTTTTTTGTGGAGTTTTGTTACTAGGTATTATGGATTATTCTTTTTTCTTTTTCTTTTTTTTTTCCCTTTCCCCCCTCTTGCGCCTGAGGAGTCTTCCTGCAAGTCACTGCAGGCTTATCACAAATGCACATTAACCCACGGCTGCGGTAGCGGACCATTGGCTGCTTGGGACCCTCGTTGGGCTCCTCACAGGCAGAAACGTGGGCGAGTCTATCCGGCACCGCTAAGACGGGGGCCCATATGAGGAGAAAAAAACAAAAATGACAAGTGAGAAAAAGAAAGAGGTGAAGAAAGAACAGATGTAAAAGAAAATATTCCGCGGCCAGAAAGTCGTGGATGCTGCATGACGGACGCGGGCGATGGGCGGCTTTTGCTACCGCGGAGCTGTTTTTGGTGTTTTGGCGGATGGAGAATCTTGACGGGCGGTGTTGACGTGCGGCGGCTGGGCTCTTATACCAGGTGATGCCTCATTGTTCATGTCTGATGCGTTATGCGGAGTGCTTTATACGAGTGGCTTGCCCAAAGGACAAAGACGGTCCTCTCGCGTGTACTTGAGAGAAGTGAATGATGTCCTCGCATGGGCTCATACCATTTTGTTTGACGATACGATGAGAGGCTGTTGGCTTTGCTTTACAGGCAAAGGTGATGATGCCAGTGATGGAAGCCAAAGACAAGGTCGGAAGTCTGGCTCGGGTTCAGTTGCGTCCCAACCCAGCCCGAGCAAAGTCAGGCTGTCGTTCTATGCATGACGCTACAAGGCAGCATCAACAGACGCTTTGTTACGTAGGCCCCATCGAAATCGAAAGAGCGTGCCTTTGAAAAGAGCAATCTAGTCGAGCAGCGATTCCGTCAGAGGGATTGGGTGTCTTCCGTGCGATCCCACGAGGCTCTCCCGGAGTTGTCGATGCCCGAGATCCCTGCGCCGGGCCGCGCTCGATTTTTACTCGGTAACACGGCATGTTTTTTATCGGACAGGAGGGGACATTGTCCGGAGGCCAAGCTGAATGTTAATGAAGTTCTGCTTATGAAACTAAGGAGATGAATTAGTGCAGTATTAGTTGTGAAGTTTTGCTACTGATGTTGGATCTACAATCTCTTAGCAGGACATGTTTGAGGGATGAAGGATGAGAGAGTAAGACTAAGACGCACATGCTGGATTCCAGGCCGGGCCTGAATGAATTCCACCACGAATGCACAGACAGACAAACGGGGGCTCAACCCGCCAGCTGAGGAATGTAAAGAGAGCCCGAAAACGAGCCCAAACAGAAATGAAAAAAAGAAGAAGAAAAAGAAGAAGAAGAAAAAAGAGAAGAAGAAAAAAAAAAACCAAGAGGCGGCAAATAAAATGGAAGCGCCGTGGAAGCTTCTGCCAAATCGTAGCGACGGCCGGTGAAGTTGCAGCATTTTGCCAGCGTTCCAAGTGGCCTTGGAGCTGGTTGAGTCTTAAGCTGGTCCCCCCGCCAATCCGGTCGGGGCTCGGCATGTGCAAGTGAAGTTAGTTGCATGCTGACATCAACTGCGGCAATCAACCGCAACTGTCAACCTGCAACTTTACCCTCGGATCCGCGCAGCCCGAGGTATCGCAGGGCCATTTATCTGGGTTGCTTTTCCCGCCGGGCTTTTTTTCAGGTTGTCTTTACATGCTTGCATCGGACGCTCTCGCTCGCGGCCGACAATGACGATATCCGTGTCCGTATCTCTACCCGAATCGCGAATGCGCGCTGTCCCCGTTCCCTCGATTGCCGCAAAGGCCATGGCCTCCATCAACGGCCACGCCAACCAGCCCGGCCCGGCCCACGGCTCGCTGTACGAGGCATGCGTCGCCATGAGGGAAAAGGTCGATTCTTTTCTGGCCGAGGAGCTGGAGACGCCGCTGCTGCGGAGGGCGCAGGAGCAGGTGCGCATCTCGGTGCGCGTTGTGGAGGAGGCGCTGGAGCGGTATCGGTATGTTTTATGCTTGACTGGCATCGCGATGGGATGGATGGATGCGTGTGATGTCATGTCTGGGGTTGATATTGACTGTATTGTATTGGGCTGACACTGGTGCGACTGCAGACCGGACGAGATCTCCATATCATACAATGGCGGTAAAGATTGTACGTTGAGACCAATTGCAGCTGCCTGCTGACGCTGTCGCCGGGAGTATTCCATGTCGTGCTCTTTTAACTGACTGCTCATCTAACCATGCGCGTGCAAATAGGCCTCGTCATGCTCATCGTCCTCCTCGCCTGCTATGCGCGACGATACTCGCCCCCCAAGTCCGCCTCCGCCCTCGCCGCCAACGTCAACGTTCCCAACGGACCGGCCAACCTGCCGCCGTTCCCCGAGAAGCTGCACGCCGTCTACATTGTCTCCGCGGACCCCTTTGCCGAGGTGGACGACTTTGTGGAGTCGAGCAGCGCAGACTACCATCTGGACATTGCCCGCTTCACGCTGCCGATGAAGAAGGGCCTGGAGGTGTTCAAGGCGGAGAACCCCGGCATCCGGGCCATTTTCGTGGGGACCCGGCGGACGGATCCGCATGGCGAGAAGCTGAAGCATTTCGACCCGACGGACGCGGGATGGCCGGATTTTATGCGGATACACCCCGTGATTGATTGGCATTATAGTGAGTGCAGAGTGCGCAAAGTTGTATAGACGTGTGTGCTGACGAGATTTGTCAACAGCGGAGATTTGGGCTGTGAGTCTTGACGATTGGGAAAGGACTTTTTTTCTTCCCTTTAGATTAGGGAGCTGACAGAAGCGTTAGTTTACTCGACATTTGGATATCCCATACTGCTCCCTGTATGATCAGGTACGTCTTTCTCTCTCTCTCTCTCTCTCTCTCTCTCTCTCTCTCTCTCTCTCTCTCTCTTGTATGCGCTTTTTCAATGGGGTGATGGAGCTGACGAGTTTACAAGGGATATACGAGCTTGGGCGGAAGAGGCGACACGCTGCCGAACCCTCGACTGAAGAAACAGGGCAACGACAAAGAATTTCGACCGGCATACGAACTAGTAGACGACGATGAAGAAAGACTTGGCCGATTCAAGTAACAGCGACAAGTCAATGCTATGATGGTGGCCTTGTATATGTCGCTGGAAAAGAAGAGTGCTTTTTTTTTTTTTTTTTTTTTTCTTGTTTTCGGCTTGTCAAGAAGGCAAGCTGGGGTTGGAAATTTTGTCATATCAAGAAACATACAAGCAAGATCTGAGCAAAAAGCATGAATTTGCGAGACATAGATTAATGGGGCTTTAAGAGCATGGGCTTTTGGTGTACGGCGTCGACGGGTTAAAATCAGCAGTTGCCCGTCAAACTGGTGGTTTTCTTCTTCTTCTTGTTTTTTTTTATCCTTTTTTTTTTAATTTATTCACATTGGATTCTGAAACTATTACAGGTAGTTGGCATATATACAAAACATTTTGGCTTCAACGGGCTTTATATATACAGTTCCAATATACAGCTAGTAAATATCATTTATATCATTGATTTTGAATCAAGTCATCGAATCGTGACTTGTCCCTTTCATCTCATCAATGCTGTCAAAACGCCCATGGTTGTGTCACGGCAAAGCAAAAGAACTTTTCAAAAGACGTACTCGCACAAAGATATTTATTATATTTAATATATATCTAATATATATATATATATATATATATATTACATGCACATCAACGGAAACCGTTACATACATCACTTACGTGTATATTCAATGCACTCGGATGACAACTGAAAACACCTCGTCCCGGCATCTCACAAACACACCCCATCTCCTCTCCTCTTCTGAACCTCTCTCTTCTTTTACAACTCATCTTCACCTCCCACATTAGCCTCAAATCATCGAAACCCCCCTCTAGCCATCCAGACCCTTCTCATGGCGTCCCTCTGCATCTCCAACGCATCCCCATCATGCCAGTCATATCCCCTCACCCCCCCTCGGACTAAAACAACAAAAACCCCAGCATCCATATTCTCGCATTTCTTACTCCATATTCTTCGCTAATCCGGATTACAAAAGACAGCGTCTTTCAAGCAAGGGGGAGGAACCCCTCCATCTGAATGGGCACCGTATATGCACACCAACGCACGAGCATATGATCAAGTGCAAGCATCTGCAGGCAATGTAAGGGATTTCGGACGCAGAGTAGCATTTTCGAGGGAGGGGAAAAAACTCGATGCATGACACGACATGACAGCTGCTAGATTTAATCCCGCAGAAATCGTCTTGCAGGGGGATGATTATGAAAAAAACCAAAACAAAAGGTGGGAAAAGAAGAGAAGATGTGTTTTGTTGGGACAGCACATCGTGAGAAGAGTTGCAACTAGATGCACTCGGCACAACACGGAGCATCTCTATTCGATTCGATCCCATGCGGTTCGACATGAACCGAACACGACAACAGAGGCCTCGATGCCCTCCCGTCCAATCGCCTATTCTTTGCATCCCGCAATTTCACATCACCTCCTCGCCAACTCATCGCCATTGGCCACGGCATCTCCAATCAGCCGCTCTCTCATGCAAATGCAAGCTCAAGGCAAAATGCAAGGCCTCAGCCCAGCCCAGCAACCTCCCCCCTTTTATACCATCTGGAGACGAACATACTTCAAGTCTCATTTTAATTTTTTGTATTAATACCAACTACCTGAGTTTGCGATCCCGCATCCACCCTCAGCTAATAGAAGAGGTATCCTAGGTCGGTGAAATCTCTCGACTAAAATCACCACCTGCTTCTTGGTAGTACTCCCAACGCCATCTGTTGCATCCGGCCATCCATTCCGTCTTGATAAGCAGTAAAAGAGAAAAAGGGCTAAAAACGAGGCGCCCATTTACAAAAATTAAACACTCTCCCTTGGTAGTTGCCCCTGACAAAAGTATAACCTATCCTCCATCTTACCCGGTCATGTTGTATGGAACAATGGCCTTGTCGATTACTGGGTCCTTTCGCGCCATGTGTGTAGCCTCGGAGCCCCAGCGTGATCTCCAGCCCTCCTCTCTCTGCACCGCCTTGTTGAATGCCTCTCGACATTCTGGCGGTAGCAGATCCCTAATATCGTCCGACACGGCGCTCAGCCCGTTGAACTGCGAGACAAAATCTGCCGGATCCGACGTTTCAACTGCTGCCAGAGCTCCTCCAGCCGCCGGTGTCTCAAAGTAGGTGTCAATGACGGAAAAGTTCCTGCTCATCTTGAGAGGGACAGGGGGGAACATGGCATGGCCTCTGGCGGCTTCTTCGTCCTGCGGCGCTACTTGCTCGATGCGCGCGAGCGTTGGCTGCATTGAAGCCGGATACTGCATGATATTCGTATGGATGTCGTAGACGCCGGCGTTGTTCAGCTTTCTGATGGCATTGATGCCTGCGTTGAATGCGCTACAACAAGTGTTAGACGACGTTCCGTTAGAGCGCATCAAAGGCCACATTTTCACGTACCTTGCCTCTCGTGCGTGCTCCAGCATCCAGTTTGTGTCGTTGACGTTGACCTTGCGCTTCTTGGACTCGATCTTGCCGGTGGGCACCGGCACCGTAGGCGCATTGGTGTGGTATACGGCGCTGGCACCGTGCCATGCAACGTACTGGTTCTTGTTGTATGGCTCCCCTGCCACGAAATGATCGTCGGGGTCGGCCAGCTGCCCCTCGACGGCACCCTCTTCGCGAGCCAGCGTGACGGCGTAGTCGTCGATGATGCGTTTACCCCCGACGACGATCCTGGATCCAAATTCCCGAAACACCGACCGAGCCGTGACGATTCCTATTGACCGGCCCTTGTACGAGTGGGGGATGATGTCTCGCTCAATCATGTCGCGCTTCTCCTCGTCGTCCACAATAATCTTGTAAAGCTTGCGGTGCTTCGTGAAGAAGAGATAGCTGTCCCTGAAGCCAACACACCGAGCCGGCTCAGTTGACAACATGTACATTCGATTGCCTCGGCCAAGCACCTTGAACGTTCGGCACCTGTAGTCGCGCCCACCTAGCAGGTTGCCCATCTTGTCAACCTTGGTCTCGCCTTCAGGGTCCTCGGGAAGGACGCATTCGTCGTCGGCAATGTCGGCCACGGTGCCCTCAGCATCAATCACTTGCTCCATCTTGGGCGCCGCAGGGCCTCCCTTGCGACCGCCTCGCCCTCTCCATCCTCCGCGACCTCTCCGGCGTGGCGTATCGGCCTCCTCCTTGGTGACGGTTACCATGTTGTCCCAGTCGGGCGGCCGGTTCTTGGGGGGCCGTCCCAGTCGCTTTCGACGAATCACGGGCTGTGGAGGCGGCGTTGGCTCCTTTGCGGACCCCTCTGATTCGTCCTCTTCGTCGCCATCGTCGTCCTTATCCGCGGCCTCTTCATCGTCATCTCCAGATTCCTCTTCCCTGGCCTCGTTGTCATCGACGTCCTCGTCCTTTTCGTCGGCAGAAGCATTCGCGCCCGCGTCTGCCTCGACGTCGGGCATCGGCTCATCTTCAATATCGGCATAGCCCTTGGGTGTGCTTCCTGTGCGGCGGGTTAGCTTGACTCGAATCCGCCGGCTCCCCATGACGGTCCTCGCAAGGTGCTGCTGTTCCACCGGCAACGAAGCAAAGAAAGGACAGGAAGAAGAAGAAGAAGAAAAGATTTCGGCTGCAATTAAATGTGCAAAATACAGCCAGACAACAAAAATCTACATGAATCCCACACCAAGGGCCCGTCGTCAAAGCAATCACTCGCAGACTTTTGGTAAAGAAAAAAAGATGAAAAAAAACGTACCAAGAGCAGCAGCAGCCTTTTTGGCCGCCGCGCGACCTGATCTCCGGCTCGGCATCGTCCCTCTTTCCCTCGAACCCCCGCAAGCTCTTGCTCTTGCTCTTGCTCTTGCTCTTGCTCTTGCTCTTGTCTTCGTTACTGGAGGGAAACAAAAAACGATACCAAAGGACCTGAAAAGGTGAGCGCTGATGTCGCAGCAGGAAACGGCCAAACGTTGAAGCTTGTCAGAAATCAAACCTGCGAAGCCTCGCGGGCGAACCAACCAGCGCCTCTCGTTTGCCTTCCCTTGTATCGCCTTTTCGCGGCGCGTTGCTTCTTAGCTTCTTGGGCGCCGTGACCCGATTGGCTGGCCGTTTCTCAGTACCGTAGCCAATTCCAAGGAGACACTGTGAAACCACACTGTCCTTGTATGTCCGGTAACGTGTACTTGTAAGAGCAGTAAAATACTCACTACACAGCTGAGAAGAGTTACTGGCGCTCAATTGATGCTCACGGTGGTTACAATGACAAATGTTATTTCCTGAGCTCCGTGAATATAATCAAATTCACTGGGAAATCCACAAAAGGACCGGAAGAGGAGCTCATTCGAATGCTTTGAATCAAACATAATTCAAACCTGTAATACTCAGCCGTTTCCTGCATACGTTGAAAAACCCAAACGTTTCCTTCTATCAATTCATGTAAGCACATGGAGAAACATGTGAATTTCACCCCATACGCCAACAATGGACCATATCGATACCGTCTCGAGCGAATCGAAGCAACAGCATTCCACCCACACACACATCATTGCACCTATCCCCTCTCAGTTTGCGATTCCAACATTCAGTCTCACAAGGTGTCCCAGCCGCCATTGTTAATTTCCGCTTCCAACTTTCGACTGATCAGACTCGGTACCCCATGTTTGAGAACTGTATTCCTGATCATGGTATCGTATCTCTTTTGGTTCAAGAACAATTGACGGCCGTGGCGAAGCTGTGGATCCGTCTCGCCGTACTTATCAATGTACGGTGCAGGCGTGAACGACCCCGACTTGTGGAACAGATAGACTGTAGAACACTTGCGTACGTTTAGGAACACTCCAATATTTCTCTGACACCTGGAATAAAAGTTAGTCATTGGAGTCCGCTTCTGTCAGCAAGGGAGGCAGGGAAAGAATTATACCTTCGCATATGTTGCTGGGCACCGCCAATCTTGGAACCATCCGTATCGGGCTTCTGACAGCATGTGCCCTGGCTGCAGAGCAACTCTCCACAGAAAAGGCAAATGATCGGGTCCGTCAAGTCTTTGCCCGTCGTGGGGCATTTTCTCCTTGTTGCTTCCTCAATCAACGTGTCAAACGTTCGCGGAAGCCCAATGAGCTCGAATATGCCGGGATGACTGACTACCGCTGAGGGGACCGAGGTGGGATAACCTTTAGTCCAGAGCACTTGGTGCTTCACCCAACCTGTCACCAACCCCGGGGTAGTGCTGGGCCATCCACACGTCGTCGAATCCACCGTCATGACTGCGCACATTTCATCAAACGTCGGTAGCCGCAGCGCCTCCGTGAGGCGGTCCAGCTCATCGGCGCCAGCATCGGACGAGACATGACTGTTAAAGTCCACACCGTACTTGACATGAAGGAATACCGCAGACTTTCGCAAAAACACCGTCGCGTACTTCTTCACAAACGAGTACCATCCTTCCAAGGTGTCAACTCCTGGCTGCTGGAACCCTATGTTTTCTCCCAAGTCTGGAGCCATGGCACCCATGCCAGCCATTGCCTGGAATTCCACGCTAAGTTTGCTCAGGGCCAAGGCAAAGTCGGCAAAGTTGTTCATGGCTGGATCTTGAGTCTGCCGGCTTGCCAGCGTACCAAACCACAAGCCCACAGGCATGTTGCGGCCCATATGGAAGACCACCTTTGCAATCTCAGCCAAGTAGCACAGCCTGACAACATGCATGATGTCGACTTTTCCGGCCGGCACCAATGCGTAGCTGCATTCTACCAAAAAGATAAAGGGGTCCGTTGTCAGCAGCGGCGGGTAGCTATACAGCCGGCGACGTGCATCGCCAGCCTCTGCTCCGAAATGCTGCGCCATGAACAGCTGGCCGTGCTGCTGCTCGGCATCTGCGATGAACTCGCTTTCTATTCGACCTCCGGGATGTGGGTTTCGGCCTCCTATCTTAATGTATGCCGAGGTTGTTTCCGCAAGAATTCGCAAATGAGCTACTACCTGTTCTGGGATCTTCTCGATCAAGGTCATTCCTGGCTGAGCTTCGATTCCACGCTGCTGGATTTCCACCTCGGAAATCGAGAATCCAACGACTTGAACTAGCGTATCACTCGCGTGGAGTTCATCGCCTGCTTGCATCTTGTCTACTGGATATCGAGTGTCTAGCTTATTGACAACCAACGTATCCCTCAGTCGATGGTAGGCGGATAAGAGCTCCGAGAATAGCTGGCTGTTACCGGCGCCAGATGGTTGATTGGCGCCTGCTTCCGATGCTTCGGCGGCCGCGGCCGCGGCTGAAGAACTACCTGACGCTCCTAGCGTCGCTGATGATCGCGCATCAAGTTCATCTTTGACCCAGATCGACTCCAGGCGAGGCTTTGACGGCGTCAGCGTTTGCAGCAGGCTTCCGGGGAGGCTTGGCGTGTCAATATCGGGCAGCTTTGAATCATCTATTTCACGAGCCTTGCTATTGCCGAACGGGTAGGATGATATTTGCTTGTCTAGGAAATCCTCAAAGCTCTCTTCTGCTTGGAGATTTCCAGGGTATGACTCCTCCAGTCCTTTCCAGACGATAGGAACAAACGCATTGCCTAGGGCCTTGCAAAGGGGGCACACAAACTCGTTTCGAAGAATGTTCTCGGGGTGGTGCCGCGCGATTTGGTGGGTATGTCGACGGTTGGTTGCCTCGTAGTACTGCTCAAAGCAACGATAGTGCATCATGTGCCCACAGCTGCTGGCCACTGGTCCGGCTCGAGAAAGTGAAGCGTCGAACCCTCTGCCAATCGTCTGCCGCTCGGCGAGGAACGTCTCTCCATGGGAATTCAACTTCTCCACCATCTTTCTGTTTTCTTGAGCTATACCAAAGGGGCGAATGTCATCCGCTGACCTGTCGAGATTACATGGAGTCTGCGAAGCTTCCCGGACAAGATCGGGGTCCTGAAAGTCCGTTTGACGAAGTATGAGACTCTCGTTCAGGAGGGCAAAGGTACCGTACAGACGTCGGTCGTCAGCTTCCTCCTGACACAGGATGCAAGTCCCGGTTGGGTATTTCCAGTTGTGCTTGCGGTCTTCGGCTTGTTCCACGTCCTCTTCGTCGTCCTCATCGAGATCCGATCCCCAGTCAATGGATCCTTGGTTCTCCAAGAAGCTCTTCTGTTGCTGCTGAAACTGTGCCATTACTTTAGCCTGACGATTCATTGCCGCTTGCTTTCTTCTTTCGCGCTCTTCGTCGGCAGATATGTTTGCTGGAGACGCGGTGCTGATGCGATCTACGGGTAGCCCGAGCTTTACAAATTCTGCATTAAACGCCCCTGGTCGTTTTTGCTTGAGGCGCTTCAGGACGAGGGAAATTTTGGGATGTACTGCCTTGAAGTCTTCATTGGTGGATAGCATGTCCAAGAGCGAAACAATGGTCCTGGCATTACTTGCGTCAGGCATGAAGTTGCTTCGGGCGACTCTTGTGAGCGCCGTGTGGACAAATGATTTGGGGGGTTTCCCCGAAGCATCAGCCTCGGCGCTGTCATCTTCCATGGTGGCGAGCAAAACGAGATGAAGAACAACCTGCAAAAATGTTTCGATCCTAGTGCTGGGCACAAGCGGTGTAAACTTGTGCGCGCTTAGAGCGTACAACAATGAGTAGTAAATGACTTGTGCAAAGACACCCGTGCTGGTGAATTCCGCGAGATGTTGGAATAGACCAGACGGTATCGGTCGAAGTTTAGGTTCAAATACGATTTCTTCCACACTCTTGCCCGTCTTCTTGGCCATCTTTTTACGGTAAGCAAGTTCGGACTCCTCGCGCTGATTCTTGTTATAATGGGCGATGTAGGGGTCGATTTCCTCAATGAATTCTTGTCGGAGTTCAAAAGTGCCCACATCGGATACACCTTCCGGTGGCTTGAAAGAGGCCATTTCATCCAAGACTCGTGGGAAGTCTTCTGACTCTTGGTATTTTTCTGGAAGCTTCTGACAGATCTCATTAAACGACAGAGGCTTGAGACACAAGACGTGAATGATGTCCCGGCGCATGGCCAGCAGACGGAAATTTGGTTCATCCTCTGGAGCAATCAAGCAAGTGCGGTCGCTCAGGAGAACAATGAGAAGATGAATCATATCCTCAACAACGTCGAGGTGTTGAGTATCATCTTGAGCTTCTGATAGAACCTCAAAAATACCCTTTACCCAATTTTCCATTCCGAATCGGTCAATAATGGATGCCAAGACTCGAGAGGGATCACAAACTACCATTGCCGTTTGCAAAAGGAAAATGTCTCGGTGGTGACAAACATCTCTCTGCCCGACACCGCGATATGTACTGGCCTGATGGCGAAGACTAATGCCATTTCGAACCCACATATTCGCCTTTATCTGGGCCAACCAAGCACAGACTCGGAGGGGGTAATCAAATAGGGCCATTAAATAGTCCTCCGGGCTGTACTCCTTCTTGGGAATCTGCAAAGGCCCTATTGTCATGAGCCTTGGCTTCGACTTGAGCTCTTGCCTGGTGAAGCTCAAGAGAGCGCGCATTTTTGATGCCGGAAGAGACCTTCCACACTCGATCAGCCAAGACAAGGCG